ACATGGTTTTGGAAATAAAAATCTACCTGCAGCAGTACAAGGTACCCTAGCTACCAGCAAAAGGTACAAAAGAAAAAGAAAAGAAAAAAAGAAAAAAAAGAAAAGGAAAAACAGCAAAAGTCTGGATCAATGACAAAAGGCCATGGGTCTAGGGGTCCGTCCTCGTCCTCTTCCTAGACGAAGGTCCAGCAGCATCATCACTGCTGTCATTTGAGTCCGAGTCCGAGCCGTCTCCGGACTCCTCCGACGACGACTCTACCTCCGCCTTTGTCTCCGCCTCAGACTCGTCATCGTCTGGAACTGGCGCCCGTGAGCTACTCTCGACATGGGTGCGTCCCGCTTTGGTGCGGGGGTATACTCTTCTATCTCCTCCGGTAGGAACAGAAGGTTCAGCTGGGGCACCTCCTACGGCAGGGATCTGGAAGGGATGCTGAAAAGTACAAAAAGCGAATGCATCAGTGTACTGTGAACGGAGTATCAGTGCAGAATGTAGTGTATGACTATAGTGTGTGAATGCCATGAGCAGTTTATCAGTACAGAATACAATGCATCAGATGCTGTGAGGGCAGTATGTTAGGTGTCGTTTTGTGTGTCAGAATATGTGAAACAGTCTATGTATGGTTCGAGACCGTGGTCAGAAGGACATACCGGAATGCTATAAATGGATAGAAGGTCGAGACTCTGCTGGAGCATCCCCATCACTGAAGCGGTCAGCTCCAAGGACTGGCGAGTGTACTCAGAAGAGGCCTGCAAAAGTGTTAAGAAGCATCAATATTCTGCGGAATATCAAATGAAATTAAATGAACTAACTATGCAGAATGCAATATGTAGTAGTACATACCGGAGGCAGGTCGTAGAAACCGACCAACTCGTGATCAGGCGGAGGGGGAGCAATAGGGATCTGGTAGGTCGCCCCGCCACGCCCTCTGCATGTCATCGCCGTGGGCAGAGCAGGCCAACCAGCCCCCCGCCCTCCCTGAACTCCACTCCTGCTGCGGACCCAAGCTCTCCTCGATGCTTCTGCCCCAGCCCCCGCTCCTGCCCTAGCTACCGGCGCCGCGGGTCTCTCTCTCTTAGCTCGACGGCCACCGCTCAGAGGCCGCATGATGTAGGTATGGACGTACTCTCTATAGTCGCCCTCGCCCCTAAAGCCCTCCACGTCCCAGCCGATCGTGTAATCGGCCATCTCCTGGGCGGTGAACCTCTCGGTGTCCCTCATGTGGGTAGGAGGTGGACCCGGAACTATCTGCTCTGGCAAGCCCAGGGTCTGGCGTAGGAAATGCTCACCCAAGTACCAAGCCCAACAAACTGGGCCCTCCAGCAGGATCCGAAAACGTGCAGTCTCCTCTACCCTGGCAAACCGATCCCGGGTCATGGCTGGCAGTGGAGCCCAAGGCTGCCAGGTGACTTGAAAATGACATGCAGTTTGTTATCTACTGATATTGAAAATACAGTGTAAAGCGAAGCTTGAATAAAACTCTAAAAATTGAACATACCTCTGCGGGGGTAATAGTGTCAAAGTAGCGACAAAAAAAGATGAATGTCTCTCGCGGCCTCCACACGCACCTCACGTCAAAGCGACGCGAAAATGGGACGACGAGAGGGGTCTCTACGTCTGGCACTGGGGCGAGTCTCGGAAAGTAGGCGTAGACCCACAACTGCAGAGCAAATACCAGAAGGGTTATCAGATAAAACAGAACACAGAATAAAACAGAAATTGCAGGACCGTGTACTGTGCAGTGTGTTGAGCAGAGTGTACAGTGTATGCAGTGCACAGTCAGTGTAAAGCAGGGTATATATGTGTGCCGTGTGTGCAGTATACGATCAGCATGAAACAGAAAGTACAGTGTGTGCAGTGTACAGAGTATAGAAAATGTAATGCAGAAATGTAAACCAGAAAAATAAAATGTACCTCCCAAGCACTCCAATAGCCTCCGAGCAACTGCCCACTGCCACGGGAAGCTGAGCTCATGTACCCATAGAGAGTGGCCAGAGCGGCGCCGCCCCAGTCGTATTGCAGGATCTGCCTGACATCCACTAGTGCACTAAGCAGGCAGAGAGGCAAAGTATTCGCCCGGTCGGCGAAAATGGTAGTCCCAAACAGGAACATGAGAAAGTCGCATGCGTATCTCTCCACAGCCTCCTGAGTCATCGGAGCCTCCTCGGTCAAAGCTGGCTGGACCCTAAACTGAACCTCGAACCAGGAATATCGAACGAAGCCGGGACACGCAAGAGGCGGCACCTCGCCGAGCAGATAGATCTGAGCAGCCGTCCACTCATCCATATCAGTATCAAAGGGGATCGGATCACCCCCTACCCCGATGCCTGTGAGCATCGAGAAATCGTAGGGAGTCATCGTCATGTCTCCCATGGCAGAAAGGTGGAACGAGTTGGTGGTGTCCCACCACCTCTCTGCTAGAGCGGCAAGGAGAGGCCTGCTCATCATCAGTCTGGAAAGCCCTCTGCAAAATGCACCGAAGCCGGCCTGGTCCACGATGTGGCGAACCGCGTCGGGTAACTCTGTATACCAATCCCGAGCGGCAATATCCCCATACCCCAGGACGGTATGGGAATCTCCCTGTTTTCAAGCAGACAATAGCGAAGAAACGCTAAAGTACAGTTTTGAAAAGCATTCAGATTTGGTAGTGAACTACAACATGTGATGTGTCATTATGTTTGCATGGTCCGGTGTGGATACAGCATGTGTGCACATTTTCCAGATTCAAACAGATATCGGGTGCCGGTGTGCTCGTAGTGAACTACAGTGACTGATGTGTCAGTGTATTTGAGTGGTTCAGGGCAAGTGCAGTGTGTGTGCACGCGTTCAGATTCAAACAGATATCAGTTGCAAGTGTGTTCACGGTCGATTACAGTGTACAGTGCCTCAGTGCATTTGGGCTAAGCAGTTAAAGAGCATAATCAGTTATGGCAGCTAACTGTTCTACATTACGAAAAGTAAAGCAGAAGGAAGAATGTTACCTCGGAAGCGCCGAAGGACAAATAAGATGTAAGCTCGCGCAAGAGAAGCTCTGGAGGCACGCCCCTCTCGAAGCTCCTGAACTGGCGCAGTCCATCAGGAGGCAGGATGTGAATCGCCGGCCGGTAGATCGCCGGGTCGAACGAGCGGACGCTCAAGGGGAGGAGCTCGGCCCCGGGGTCCATCTCGTGGTCCAGGGGAGTCCCGCCCTATGGAATATCGTCGACCATATCAAAAGTGACGAGGAAACTGGTCGGAAAAGGAAAAGAAAGCTTGAATGCGAAGGGTCAACGAAAAGTCAACCCCCCGAGAGGGTGGAAAATGGCCGAAAAAGCCGGAATATGGAAAATATGGGAAAATCAAGGAAAACTCGAGGGGAACAAACCCCAAAAAGAGGAAATAGCAAAGGAAGCACTGAAACGAAGTTTCGATCGGGTGAAAGTGTTCGAAACGCGATAAACTTCGCGAATCGAACGATGGAACAGGCGTAAAACGCGAGAAAACGGAAAAAGAAAAGGGGGAAAAATGTCCAAGAGAGAGGGAGGAAGCATTTTCGGCTAGAGAGAAATGAGAAAAATAGGGTTTGAAACCCTATATTAAAAGACCCAAGGCGAAAAGTCAAAACTGCCCCGAATCAGGCATTTTTGGCCGGTCGGCTATATTTTTGGCCTTCCACATCTTTGGCCGATGATGTGTTTTTTCGGCCGGTGGATGGCCGGTGGCTTCCTCTTCCGACCGGTGAGCCTCCTACAGCCTTGTTTGGGTCAGATCTGTAGTTTGGGGTCTTCATTGCTCAAGATAGTGCAAGAAAAGTGCATTTCCGAAGCTCAACCAACCGCTGTTTTGACTTCGAACCGTGTCTTCTGTGCGTGGCACTCGGATATGTGCAAGGTGTATCCTTTTTGTATCCTTTTGTCTCTTTTAAAATTTGAAAGTTGCCCCACATGGGTTACATTACAACGCTCTATCGTGAACGCGCGCTGATTTTGCATCATTTTTGTCACGTCGTTGCACACACATCTCGCGTTGACATGTGCATGTCATAATCATGCAAAATCATGCATTCAAAATAACAAAATTCATGTATTTGCACGGTCTGGCGAGACCTTAAACCTGCTCGGTTGCATTGTCATGCATATCAAAAGACGTGCGTTGTCACGCACTTACATCAACATGCATTGTCATGCATCTCAAAAACCGCGTGTTGTCGCGCATTTCGAAATCATGCATTTGACAGCCTGGCGAGACCTTAAACCTGCTTGGTTGCATTGTCATGCATATCAAAAGACGTGCGTTGTCACGCACTTACATCAACATGCATTGTCATGCATCTCAAAAGCCGCGCATTGTCGCGCATTTCGAAATCATGCATTTGTTGGTCTGGCGAGACCTTAAACCCGCTCAGTTGCATGGTCATGCATATCAAAAGACGTGCGCTGTCACGCACTTACATCAACATGCATTGTCATGCATCTCAAAAGACGCGCATTGTCGTGCATTTCGAAATCATGCATTTGACGGTCTGGCGAGACCTTAAACCCGCTCGGTTGCATTGTCATGCAAATCAAAAGACGTGCGTTGTCACGCACTTACATGAACATGCATTGTCATGCATCTCAAAAGCCACGTGTTGCCGCGCATTTCGAAATCATGCATTTGACGGTCTGGCGAGACCTTAAACCCGCTCGGTTGCATTGTTATGCATTTCAAACGACGCGCGTGGTTGCGCATTCGGGTTCACATGCATTGTCATGCATATCAAAAGACGTGCGTGGTCACGCACTTACATCAACATGCATTGTCATGCACCCCAAAAGCCGCGTGTTGTCACGCATTTCAAAATCATGCATCATTGCAAAAAAATGCATATGTCATGCATCATTGTAAATAATGCATATGTCATGCATCATTATAAACATGCATATGTCATGCATCATTGTAAATAGTGCATATGTCATGCATGCCATTGTAAATAATGCATATGTCATGCATCTTACTGTAAATATTGCATTTACGCCCATCCATTGCATATTTGTAAATATCGCATTGTAGTTTGCATGCATTCACTTCATCACCCCCATCTATGGCTTGCGCCTTTCCATGTTAAGCTTGGTCTGGTATGTGCCCACACTTTTCACATCGAAGCACAGTTCTGCATGTGTATGCGCCTATTCCACGCTGGTATGTTGGTTTGAGGGTTGCGGCACCGTTTCTGTGTTAGATGCGGTTTGTTTGTGTACATGCCTTTCCTGGGCAAGATTTGGTTTGGCTTGCGCGCCTTATCCATTGTAAATATCATATCCATTCCATTGCATATCGTACATATCGCATTGTAGTTTGCATGAATTCATTGTATCACCTCCATCTATGGCTTGCGCCTTTCCATGTTGAGCTTGGTCTGGTATGTGCCCATACTTTTAATGTTGAAACACGATTATGAGACTTGGTGTACGCCGCCTATTCCACGCTGGTATGTTGGTTTGAGGGTGATGGCGTCATTTTCCGTGTCAAATATGGTTTGTTTGTGTCCATGCCTTTCCTA